TTCTTCAGCAAATCAGTTTCATGTTGCAACAAATGTGGCACTACGTGATGCGATCAAAAACCACATGAAAGGGGGAAAGATGTACGAAATCGATCAATAATTATTCGTACATCTTTCCCCCTTTCATGTGGTTTTTGATCGCATCACGTAGTGCCACATTTGTTGCAACATGAAACATACTTAAAGTAAAGATGTCAGGTCCAAAGTGCAGTCATTGTAACTGAACTGCGGCATATTAAAAACAGTACAGTTTTACTACGATGCAACCTAACACCAAGAGAAAGAAATCTGAAACGAATTATAATGACTGCACTTTGGACCTGACATCTTTACTTTAAGTATACATGGCTTGTTTTTGGGAGCACGTTACTGTTCGGAGAGGTCTTATAGAATTTTTAACCGTCATACCTTACAATACAGACCTAGAAGCAATCTAAATATAAAAGACTATTCAATGCAAAATGGATGTCCTTATATTCGTGCCTCTATCCACATAGGCCACACAGAAACAAGTGCCTAACAGTACTGAGCATATAAATGCGGGGATTTTAGGCTATGGCCTGAGGTGCGAAGTACCCGAATATGCTTAACTGGAAGGAAGTTATGTTGACGAGCATATTTCCGAGAGGACAAAGAATAAGGAATCTGCTAAGGAGATGCTGATGGCAAAATTGTGGTTGCAGCGTAGTTGGTTGATGCACTACAAGCTAGAAGGTCGCGGGCACGATTCCCGATGAGGTGGTTGGATTTTCTAATTTATCTAAACCTTCCAGATGCCGGAATAGCGTAGTCGGTATAGTGACTCGATATGGGCTGGACGACCGATGAACTGGAGTTCGAGTCCCGGTAAGGTCAAGAATTTCCTGTTCTCCACGTCGTCCAGACCGGCTCTGGGGTCCACCCAGCCTCCTATCCAATGGGTGCCGGGAGCTCTTTCCCCGGGGTTAAGCGGCCGTGACGTGAAGCGACCACTCACCTCCAACTAGTGCCGTGGTCAAGATAATGTGGATCTATATATCCACTCCCCCATACGCCTTCATGGCACTTTGACAACTTTATGTTACCTTTTACCTAATCCTTCCAGCCGTATTATGGCCCTGGGTTCGACTCAGCCTCTAACAGAAATGAGTACCTGAAATCCTCCTGGGGGGTAAAGGACGTCCGGCGCGTAAGGCTGACAACCTTACTGCCATCTGTGAGCCGACTGTCTAGAAAATGTGGGAGCCTCCATGTCTCACAACCCTATGGGCCTCCATGGAATGTTTCAGGGATAACTTTACCTTTTTAACTTTACCTAGGGGAATTCCCTTCGACCTCTCGTTCCCCTTTTTAGCCAACTTACTCCACCCGCTACGTTATCGAGGACTCGACATAGACAGTTGATTATGCAGACTGTTACGTCTTCTTTAAACTTACGAAATTTTTAATGAACTTCTGGTGTGTATGCGCGGTGGAGATTTCAAACGTGTACGTATATATGACTTCTATCCGTAAAGTTGCCTTCACAGTGTATGACGTACCCTGGTGCGTGAAGCATACTGGCTATATCAAATTTCGTAATCAACTTGTTATTCATGAAGTGCTTTTGGCTCTTAATTTGTAATACGTCAGCATCATGACATGTTATTGATGCTGAGATATTACAGGAACCAACAATTCAGGTCTACAGAAATAAACATCTCTTATGATATGCGTAAAGTCGGGAATATTGTAATGTCAAAACAAGCAGGTCTGGTTTCAGCCTTGGCCAAGATGCATTGGGGCTCTACTGTACAGTTTCAGGGTCGAGTGAATTGCCTTAATCTTTAGCTAATCCACCAGTTATTGCACCACACTGTCTGGTAAGTCAAACAGCTTTCCCACTATACTATCGTATTCGATACTAAGAACAAATTGTTACCTGCACAATTCTGTAAGCATATGGTCTTCGTGTAATTTGTAGGTTGTTACAAATGTTTCGGAGTTACTTGCCGCCTTCATCTTCTGGGTAGAATATCAATGCAACAAGTTCCTGCGAAATATTGGTAATCACGTACAAGAATCATAACGTCAGACAATTCTAAATATCGTCATAACCTAGAAGACAATGTCCCTCAGAAGTACTGGGGTTTGGGGCTTCGTCCATCGTCAGATATTCTAGAAACTAGAAAACAGAACGTTTCGGGAACTGGATCTGTTTCCGTCCTCAGGTGAGGGAGAAAGACCCCTACTCAATTTAGTTCCGTAGAAATTACTGGATCCAGTTTCGGAAATGTTATGTTTTCTGGTTTCTAGAGCACAGGACGATGGACAAAGGCCAAAAACCCAGTAACTCTTGAGTGTTATACACCATCGTCAGAACCCTTTAGAATCTATAAAACAATTGTTTTAACGGCTGTGAGACCCAAATTTTCATATACGATAAAACATAATTTTTAGTTGGAAGATATTACCTGTCTTTATTTACGTTCTGTGATGAAATTACCTTTGTGTAACGTCCTTTTAGTGTACCCATTTTATTGCAAAGACTGTACGGGAAGTATAGCTGAAAATAAATACCTAGGCATAGCCAAAATTTAGCTGGAGATGTACAGTCCTGCTGATGTACTCAGGAATCCTTGTGCAAGACTTGTCTAATGATGTGTGCCTACGTATGTGCGTGTTCGTTTCCCGTCTGCGGTCTGTAACTCAACACCTGCAAGTAACGGAACTCTGCCTGAGCTCTTCATTTAATTTTTACATAAAGCGAGGCTCGGCTTGGACATTCCCCACACTAAATGAGGTATATTGCTTTAACAGAAAATTTCAACTTAAATAAAATCAAAGCAACAACATCTTAATGACGTCATAGTTTTTAAATTAGGAAATGCCCTCAACTGCATATAGGCAAATTTGTTACATCTCGCTTTAATTCTAAAGATATAAACTTTATTTTCATTAAGATCTATCCTAACAATTCGCGATTTTGGGGTTTCAAAGCGACGAAAATTAAGACTAAGTTTTCTGGGTTGTGACAACGGTGTAGTTTCATCAGTGACTACTAACATTTCGAACAAATCTTCCACCTCCAGCTCCAAGGTGGGATTATGCCCAAATGGGACTGGGGTCAGTTATATAAAAAAGGCAGCCAATGAAACAGGGAAGATCAGAAGACGTAATATCAAGGGATACTTGAAAAGCGGAAACAATAATTGCCTTGAAGAAAACAGTCTTCTGGGATTTGGCACCGTGTATATGTGGTGTTAACCGATGTTTCGGAGGAACGTCGGTTAACACCACATATACACGGTGCCAAATCCCAGAAGACTGCTTTCTTCATAGTCACCGCCGTGAAAGCCTCAAATCTTACAATAATTGCCTTGCTTGATGGATTCCCTTGTGTTCCTACTCACGTTGGGTAACCTTCCCAAACAGCTCGAACACATCTCTGGTTGGCTAATTTCTACCCTGAATATGGAGGCAGTAGGTCCCTCCGAAACGTTGTTAACCATCTATTAACTCAGAAGGTAATTATTTTAATCATCCCGCCGGATCTCAACAAGATGTTCCTTCTAATGACAATGAGAACTCACCTTACAATTTAGGCTACGCTCAATATAAAATTAATTACGCTTCAACTCATACTCTCGTCTACGCTTATTTATTTTTTCACTTATACTTCGATCGATTTATAAAATGTTCGCAATTTCATAACGTATTGCGACATGATCAAATACTTTAACAAGAGATGTCATCCGTTACTAGGCAATGACACATTAAGCACGCTATGACGTAACTGCCATTGCTACTCAAAATAAACATAAAAAATTGAAGAACTTTTGAAAGCGGTGTTCCCTGTGGGGTCCGCATACCTACACAGTAACTCTGCGAGTCTTAGAAGGCGATGAGAATGGAACCCAATATCCGGGGATATAACTGGGCTATCCTATGCCTGGGGGTATAAATACGTGGATCTCCCCCCCCCCGCGTTGGAGGAGTCTCGAATTTGACACAGTAAAATATGGTCATGAGTCCCGCGAAACTCTGACCGGGGAATGACTGCCTTGGTGAGAGCCATCATTAATTGTAATTGACAGACACGCCCTCTCGACAGAGATGGCGCCCCACATCAACAAATCTACAACTGTCTGACAGAAAAAAAAGAAGAAAAAAAAAACTGCTCACTCTTTCGAATTTTGGCTGGAACGCCGGCTATCGTGACTGAGGCTCTCGTGGTTTCCTTCAGTCCCTTCCAGACAAATATTGCGATAGTACCCAGATCAGGCTACGACCGCCTGCTTCCAAATCATTTAATTTCAACTTCTATCATGCTACGATACAGCACTGTATAATCAACATAAAAAAGTAAAGGTATCCCTATAATAGGTCGTGGAGGTCTATAGGGTTGTGAGATGTTGAGGATCCCCACATTTTCTAGACAATCAGCTCACAGATAGCGGTGAAGTTGCCGCCCTTTACCCCCAGGAATATTCCTGGTACTCATTTCTGTTAAGTGGTTGAGTTGATCGCATGGCCATAGTGCTGCTGGAAGGATTAGGTAAATTGAAAAAATCCACCTCATCGGTATTCGATCCCGCGAACTTCCGGCTTGTAGCATAGTGCCTCAACCAACTACGCTAACGCTTGCTTCCGAAAACGGAAATCTGTCCCTTGGGACCCCTAGCAAGTAGACAAAATTTTAGGCTTTCACGGTGAAAAAACATACTGGCGATCAGTCTTGTCCGTGTTAAGTTAAATTCAAATCTGACACGACTAATTGCTCAAGAACATTTCAGCACTCCGTTAAATAAACTGAGTTTTCAAAAAGAAATGATTTCTGAACAATTCATTTGGACCCTGTTAAGTCTGTGTTGATACCAACGAGAATTCACTACTGTGCTTCCTAACACTGACATCCAAGAGGCAAGGACTGCCACCTGCACAGTGTGCGTAACGCCCACATGCAGGAGAGAGAGAGATGAAGGGCTTGGAAGCGCGCCGGTCCGTTCTTTCTTGCGGCCCCCACACAGAAGTCAGTTTTCCGCTGCGAGTGCTGGAGGCAGCATACGGTCCGTAAGAGCTTCGTTGCTGTCTGAAGCCGCCGGCGAACACGTATCGCGTCACGTTCGCACTCTCGCCGTCAGTCGGGTGTTGGATTTGTGCAGACACGCGCTTGATGTATAAGGCGATGAAACACAATGAATAGAAACAGAACAAAATTATATATCCAGTAAAGAAGAACGTAAAATTTTTGTTCTATGTTATGTTCTGCGTTTAGTTGAGGAAACTGTGAGTTTGAATACTGGTGCATGTGCTTCAAATGTTTCGTTACAGTCCATCGCCAAAACCCACTTCAACTTCCGAATAGAATAACACTAGAACAGACATTTTTCTATTTGATGATCCAAAGGGTAGCCTTATTAAGATATTAACACAGAAAAATTCGAGAAAAAAATCTGTTACAATTATTATTTCGTCGTATATTAAGAATTAAGAACTTATATCGAACTGTAAGGTGCTAAGCTAATTTGCTATGATATTATGTTGGAAATAAAAGCCACACTATGTATTTCGTTTACTAATTCAGATGTTTTAAAACTGTGATATAAAGACTTCACGCTTCCACGTGTAAGTAGATATTTTGTTGCTTAGCTCGATGTTTTTGTAAAGTTCCCTGTACTGGTAACCTAATGAAGAAAGTGAGGAGATATTTCATTCAGTAGTACGCAGATCTACATGCAGGTTCTTATGGAACTGCATTCATAGAAATTCGAGCGTTAAAATCAAAAGGTTTACTTTCTAATTTCTAACTGAAGTACTGTCATGTTAATCATATTAATTGTGCAACAGTACGAGTATACTGCTCATGTTCTGCGCAAAGTAAATTTTTATTCCGAAAGCAACTATTGGACATTGTACACATTTGAGAGGACATCTTGGAGGTCAAGAAGCATGTTTCATAAATCTAACTTAGCTAAGCCTCTTATTTATTTGCGAAGGATCGTGTTTGAACTACGTTATCGGAAAATTCATATATAAAGTGATAATTATTAATTAATTCAAATCTGTATTATTTAGTCAAAATTTTTCATCATTAATTGGACCATCATAGTATATTTAAAGGAAAGAATTCACACCTTCTCCAAATTGTGTATTTCAGAAAAGTACCGCTACGAGTGAAATTGCGATCGGTCCCCTTCCTGGACTTTCAGATTGAGCCTCTGAAAACAATAGCTGAAACTGAAACCATCTGGAGCAATTAAAACAATAAATTTCTTTGACATGATACAAACTCCTGCCCGAGTACTATATTAACTCCTTGTATGAAGTGAAACGTTGAATCGTATGTGAAACAGACTTTGAATCAGAGTACGGTCTTCACATGGTGTTTATTCCATTCGAAATATTCCTAGAATTAAATATGACAGGTCATTTAGCAATCCATATACACACAGTTCACTTCCAAACACACGAAGTGCTTATTGCACATTGCCAGATTTTGCGTTAACAATGAACACGGTGGCATGCGAGCATAAACAAGCAAGCATCGCGTACAAAAAACAGCGTTAAATTTACAAAACAAGTTACTCAAATATATCGTGTTCTGCATTCAGATGATGTATAACTGAAGTATAATTTTCAACACACACATTTTATGTAATTCACATGTCATTGAAATATTAAATTTTAAAGTCGTTTCATCGTTGTGAATATATATCGGATACAGTATGGTTAATATATTCTTTTCTTCCGTTGAATGCTAGCCCTTACTACTGAAGAAGATAATTTTTGTGCCTTTGTCGCGACAAATGTTGACCCCGCAAACAGTAGAATGTTTTAGATATTGTAAAGCGAACAATGCACGCACTGTTATCTGATTCTGAAACAACAGGAAGAGCGTAACAATAGATGCTCTTTTCTTTATCTGATTCTAGGTTGAATGTTGTGGTCGCAACTCTGTACGGCTGTTCGTGGGTATGTTACTTTCAGTGTCACGTCCTCAGACGCGAAGCCTATAAAAACAGAGGTGCTGCGTAATAGACGCGCGTCTTATAAACTTCTCGTTAGCGTCACAACATTTGTATCGTAAATCTAAAGATCTAAAGTAGCTTACTTAATGACCAAAGTGTCGTCATCAATAGCATCTGTAACTCCCTTCCATAAGCGCACTACAGTCCTAGAAACTCTCTCTTATAAAGACGATCTGCCTTCCTGAGACGTAAACGTAACTTTGTAGTGTCTCGCATGGATTAATTAGAATCTCGCCTGTATCGAAGGACGCATTATCAGACTGAATTTTCATAGGACCAAGCGGGACCTAGTTGGTGTCTCATCCGTGGAGAGTACATGCAAGTTTGTACTTTAATGAACGTTTTAGCTAATGAAAAGTGTGAAATGAAATCATATTTTTCCGTCAAGTGAAAATAAGTGAATCATCAAAACAGTGTTGGTGATATACGTGCAGGCCTCCACGCCCGACCCTGGTGTTCACATAGTCGCGTGTTGAAAACGACATTGCCCTCTCAGTTAACACGACGACTTTGGATAGCGGAACATATCCTGAGCCGTTACTTCAGAGAGTGAAACCACAAGCAACTCTGACCACAGCGACTATGGACCGAGCCATTGAGAGGAAGACGCTGTTTATCGGTGGACAATAACATTAAAACTGTCTTTATAACAAAACACTGTAACTGTATAAATTCAAAACAGTTAGGCCTCCTGTTTAATTAATGTCAAGTAAAGGTATGTGAAGTTCGAAACAATATTCTGCATTAAAATTAGCTAAACATCATCATCAAAAAGTTATAAGAAACTAAAACGTCTATACAATGCATTGGTATAGCTTCTTCATTGTTTTTCGTCGTACACAGTGTTTAAAATCGTGAGAAATAAGGCGACTTAAGAACACTGTAATGAAGATTCATCTACTGCACATGAAAGCAAAAGGAAATTTCCATTGAATAATTCGTAATCAAGACTCAATACGAAATAGATGTATCACGGCTAAGTGGACTGTGAAATTGAATAAGTTGTTTCAGCTGCTGCGGTTTCCTGTTGCTAAAAGACAGAGAATATATAACAAGACGCTTACTATCTTGTCTTCAATCCTGTAACAAAATTACAACCCACGATTTATCATTATCATTTTCCAGCAAATAAGGAAGTGTGAAAGTTTGCCAGTGTTACAGTAACAAACTTCCATTGTATAAAACAAAAAAGCAATGCTGCATTTGTGTATTTAATGTTCATAAGTGTCGACGCTTTTTACAGTGAAAAATATTTACATTTCTGCAAAAGCAGAATAAGGCCGTAACGGGGTCTCCTGATGGGAGAAGTGACTCTTAATTGTGCGATAACACGATTAAAATGTAATGTTTGTGCATAATTAAAGTTAAAACACTTAAAGCACTTAAACTTCAAGTGCTAGGAGTTTATCTTAGAAAGTGACAAATTAGTCTGACAAATAAGATTATTCCCAAATGGTGTTTACCAATTTTGTTGTAAGGCACAATAGCATCTACTCTCAAGATGTGTTTGCAAGTCCTTGAATGCTCTGTTAACCCTATGAGTCAGTTCCAATATGATATGGTTCCTTGGTAAATGAATACTTTGAATGCGATATAAGCATGAGTGATTCCTTAATTACCGCTATTTTCTTAGTTCTCTCTGAAGACTGAACTTAATTATAAGCTGAAGCAAACTGTATTTAAAAGGAAAGGATAAGATTATTAATAAGGCAATTACCTCAGACTACAATAACATGTCTCGGAAACGTATCGAGTATAGAATTTGTAAATCATTTGGTACAAAACGTTTTATTTTAATCTTACGTAATAATGACTGTTCTGAATCAATATTTGTATAATTTTATTGACATACTGTTCTCGAAACACCTGAATAATATTTTCCGAACAAGTGGCCGTAATTTTATTTATAAAAATTTAACATTATTCGCAAATATCAAACACATTCACATACTTAACAGTGAACAGCAAGCACGTCAATTACATAAAGCGGTGTTAATTTGTAACTCTCACACAAATATATTTACACAAAATCACAAAGAAGTTTTGATGCACAATTAAGAGACTATATATGGAAAGTCAGCGACCCAGCAAAATGTATTCATATCAGTGTGAAAGTGTTCAGTAGAACAACAATTCCTGTTGCTGTACAGTGAGCAAATTATTTACACGATCCTTATCACGACAAACCCAGTTTCTCCATCTTTCATTGACGTTCAGCACACTATTATATTATTCTCGTTTCCGCAGATTTCACGGTTAAAACAACCATTAATATTTTTCTTCTTTTAAAAAGATATGCTTTAATACACGACGAATTTCTTACATTTACTCTTCGAACCCATGGGAGGAAGCGTATTTTGAAAGAGTTCTAAATTGCTGAAGTTGTTATAAAGCCAAAACTGTACTACAACATGGGTACCTCGGAAACGGTCACATCACCACCTCCTCTGGGTGTCGGAATTGGTGGACTCCGGTATCGTGCGTGTGAAAATATCACTGCCAACTTGAGTGAGTTCGGTGCCTTCTGCTCCAACGCAACTGAAAGCACAAAAAGTTTTGGACTTGATCCAGCTCCAGAACAAGAGTCACTTGTTATGATCCAGAAAATTGTCTCCATTGTCGTCCCTATTCTCTTCGGACTCATCGTGTTGGTCGGGCTCTTCGGAAATGCTCTGGTAAGTGACTTCATACTGTAACCGTACAATGCAAAGGACTCCAATGTTTTGGTTCACGTGTGTCGGTACTTGTCGCTACATCAAAGCAGAGGCAATACCTCACACCCACTCCAACCAACGGGAACTGAACCCTTTCGCAGTTCCGGGATGGTAAAGTTTATGACGGGTCACAATCCCCAGACTAAACCCAAACCAGCCCGACCCTCTCTCTACTTTTAGAAATAGCCATAAATACTAATAAGAGGGATCTGTCCAAAAGACATTGAAAAGGACTTTTGGTCACTAGAGAGAGGTGGCCCTCTAACGGTCATAAATGTTAAATGTTAAAGCCTGCTTTTAGCAACGAGCGGCGAATTGTTTTATTAGTACAGGAAAGGGGCCAATTTCCAACACCTGATTCATCACGGACCTACTCTTAGGAGACCGTTAGGTCGTACCCTCTCAATCCACCCCGGGTCAGAAAGACTGAAAGCGTGTGAACCCCAACTTTCGCCGCAAACAGCTGACCAGTGGAGGAATGAGAAATCTATCAAACCCCTCCCCCTTCTAAAATCAGCCAACCCGGAAATTGGGAAAATGGCAACGAGGTGTTCCTCAAATTTTGGCAGTATCTCTGAATCTGCAAAAGCAGTCAGTTCCTTTGGGGAGTCTGGTAAGAACAGTTGAACTGGCCGGACGCGCCTGCTGTCTCACTCGTCTATTAAGTAAAATTAGTGTTCGAGCAACGTGAGATAATAGTAAAAGTAACGCACGGAGTGGTATCTGAGTGGCGTTCAGATTTAAATCAATAAAGTTTAGTGTTGCCTAGTGTTTGTGTGTCCCGCGTGTTTTTTTCCCCTCGTCGGAGTAAGGCCCTAAACGACCTGAGCCAGAGTCTCACGCAAACCACTACTAGCCCGATCATCATCAGCTCTCGCCCCGTCCACCTTTTCCCTTCACTTTGCAGCTGTACCCACAGTTGCTGGCGCCCATAACCATCCAGTCCAAGTCCCGGACCGGATACCCTTTCCATAGTGAAGAGAAGTGGTGGAGTTGGAGAAGCGGTGGAGCCAGCTAAAGCCGACCTAGCTGCAAGCTCCACGATCAACCGGTGTGGCTAGAGGTTACACAGAGGGGGACGGTAAGAATACTATGCCCTCAATACGTGTATTCCTCTCAATCTGAGCACTATATATATTGCTGCGTTTTGCATGGCCGTAGGTGCAAGGCCTCATGCATGTGGCATCTCAAATTTTTGTCTTAACTCTCGCAGACGGTGTATGTTGTGTTTCGTTTATATACCCTGTCCTGTGTTGATTCTGACGTGCGCAGACAGGGACTACCTCTCTCGGTAAGGAACAACTGAGCGGGCTTGTTATCTGATGCCGGAAGCAGAATAGTCTCAGAAACGGTATTTTACATAAAAAACTACAGATGGATAATGTCCAAAAACTCAATAATTGTAATAAACACTCTTGTTTGTTCATGAAATGATAATGTCACATCTAGATAAAATACCAGGAGTAAATGTATCTCTTTAAAAGTCTTCCCTGTGCTTAATTAAACACAACGCCAGGAAGACGTATGGGGGAGTGGGTGTGACTTCGGCACTAATTTGAGGTGAGTGGTTACTTTCACGCCCTGCCCGCTTTAGCCCCGTGGGAAGAGCACCCGGTACCCTTTGGATGGGAAGCTGGGTGGGCCCCACAGCCGGTCTGGATGACATGGAGGAATAAAAATTCTTGCCCCCACCAGGACTCAAACACCCGACTCCTTGGTCGTCCAGCACGTAGTTAGTCGCAATACTGAGTTATCATGGCTCTTACATGTATATCAGTAGGCATGCCAGTACATTTAACCCAAGATTTGAGGTATAAATACTACAGTTTTTATTTTTTTTCGGAAAGTAGCCGTCAGCTGTCTGGCAGGATTGCCTATCATAATGTGTTTCAACATGAAACACTTCTAAAGTAGGTCTATAGTGAACGCGTATCGACTAGCATTGCAATTTAAGAATACTGCTATATTATTTTATACTACCTTAATGTTGTTCAAAATGGCGACAGCGTGGTTAGACTCACGCGAACGTCCACTCAGTTCTTAATGGCCTCGAAAGCCTCTTAAACGCTGAAATTCTACTTTCTATAGCAAGTCACAGTCTGGGTTCAAACTGTAATGTTAACTTCGCGACACTTTTTATATCATGACAATTTATTATCCCAATTACTCTATCGTGGTCTTTTACGTTTTCTGCATCTGGTCACTTACATCGTGAAGTGATACTGTCTCAGAAACTATTTTTACCCAGGTTATTCATATCTATAATAAACTGTGCACCATTTCCATTGGTCAGATAAAATTAGATACCTTCAATTGTCAAAAAAAAGACGGTCAGATAGTTAATTTGAGCAGAAGAATAAGGTGTCTTCAAGTGGGCTGTATCGTTCATAGCCGGAAAAGGGCCAAATAACCCAAAGAAATATGCTTAAAAATTAATGATATCGTTCTGAAGCAATATTTTCCTTAGGTTTTCGTAGTAAAATTTTGAAGCATATGTAATACACAGAAATGTATGGACATTTTCCTTGGTGAAAATGTTATAAGAGGAAAACTTTAATCTTTGCGGGCCTAAATTTGTGTATGCGAAACGGGTAATGTCCTGCAGATGCAACTCTTCAGTATGCTTGGCGTGACCACTGTCCCCTAACCTTACTCACTGCGATTGTTTGTTTTTATGCTGGCATCAACCTCAACAATCCTCGTTCAACTGAAGAACCGAGGGCAGAACTCGAAGCCATTACTGGTAACAATAGTATATTTAGTGTAACTGTTCGTGATTTATGCTTCAGTTTCACGGAAATATAGAGATTGAAGGTCCAACTGAACACATTTCACGTAAGAACAAACTTCCGTGTTTTTAGCAATGTCCAGTGCTGTGCCGTGGAAGCTTTGAAAGTATACGCTTCGAGAACCATATAATTTATTTCTGAAGGTCATGTACTCCCATGGTCTGATCCCCTTATTTACATTTGTTTATGTATGCATTTCCTAACTCCTTAAATCTGATTGCGATCGTAAATTCCAAAGTTTCTGACTCCAGTTTTAACGAAGTTAAACTGTCTCATTGAAACAGCAGACAACTCTTGTCACATATTCATAATATTTGCATATTTGCTTTGGTGGTTCAACCTATCTCGGTGTTGTTACAATTTCCCATTATGTACATATCAGTTCATAATATACAGAGTGTTCTTTTCATCATCTGTTCACTCACTCAGGAAGCTAAGACCTTCTTGAGAATCTGCAAATTGTTGAGATACTCAAGAACTTCCCAGAATTTTATGGAATCCGAACGTTCATTACTGTGTTCAGAAGAGCCCTCCACCGGTCCCTATCCTGAGCCAGATCAATCCAATCCATCCCATCCTATCTCTCTGAGATTCAGCATCTGTTATTTTAAAATTTATTAAATTTCTTTGTTATTAAATGCAATTCTATGAAACTTTCAAAAATCGTTCAACACAACTGGGAAATGTATTCGTTGCCACTGGAAATGCTGAACTGAGTGACAAGGTAGCATCGTGTAGGACTAATCGGAAAGTGTCTATTGTGAAAACTGTTACTCTTCGGGTGTTTCTTGTGTTGCTGTTTGCTGTGCGGCAATCGAAGTTCAAATGTAGATAACAGGGGGACCGTGTGATACTCAAGACACCTCCATTTCTGCAGTAGAGCTCTGTACTCCCTCGCAAAAAGGTAACATCTCGCTATTCCATCTTCCGACAAGGGCTGACTCTGCTATTTTCTGTACGGAAACAACGACAAGTTTTCAGGACACAGTTTCCATGACTTACCGGTCGAGACTTCTCTGTGGTGCTAAGCATCGCTAGCTCTTTCTTAGATTTCTTGTTAGTGCCTCCCGTACTACAAGAACTTCTTCCGTAAGAACAGATGTGTTGCTTTTACGTCCCATCGCACATTTATCAAACACACTTCTGTTTCTTCAGACTGTTTAACAATCCGGTAGGGTTTGTCTCTCGGTGGTGCAACACGAACAGGAAATCCTCAGCGGTCTCTCCACACCAACACAAGGACCACCAGAGGGGTAGAAGGGTTTGAAAACAAACGCTTCCCGGTCCCTAACATGCAACTCTATCCCGATAATCAGTTCAGCGTTGTAAACAGCAACTAACGAATTTACCGAGTGTATAGAACGATGTATGAAATTTTCATACAATTGCGTTCAATGACAAAGAGGTTTTATACATTTTAAAACGTTGGATGATAAAAATACATCCTGTATATTTTAAGGATTATTATACTATGTGGACGTACTTGCAAAACAAAAGTGTAAATTTGCTCCAGATTTGATACTCGTTATATGCAAAAGTCTATTTGCATGAGCTGGTTTTACACATCAGATAATGATTTGCTCATCATTTACATAGGGAGTCATAATTTCCTTTAGCAAATCAACATCCCAACAGAGTCAGCCTGGGAAGAGTCACCCACAGACGAGTCCCAGCGTGATCTACTTCGGCTTGCCGTTTAAGCATGACATCAGAGACACACTTCACTTACAACGGCTGTCTGTCGAAATAAGTTACAAATAACTTTACCTATTTAACCCGTTCCTCTCATAACCTACGGTGTCGAGGTTTTTTTTTTCATTTTTAACATTTTAAAGGCGGTAGGACTCCTTGAACGAGTGATCAGCTCGTCGCAAGGCCTCTAAATAAATACAGGACAACACAAACACAAAATAAACACATATACATACCAAACATCCATGCCTTCTGTGAGATTCGAACCCACGATCCCGGCTTTCGAGCGAGCGAAAACAGTGCATGCCTCAGACGGCTCGGCTACCGTGACCGGTAAGATACAGATAAACGGCTATCAATTTAAGTTCAACAATCTTACTTCCGCTAACTCCATAAGGCAGACTCCTCCTTGAGAAATCGATAGCGGCTCAATTCGTCAAGAAATTACGGAACTCAAAGGCTCATTTCCATGTTCATAAA